TTGAGCACTGCCAGTAAGAGCCAAGTGACTGGCTAGTATAACCCAAACTTAACACCACATGCTGACTGCTTCCTTCTTGTTTGTAGGGATGCTCTTAGTGACCTAGCTCTACATTTCCTCAACAAGATGAAGATCATGGTGGTTAAAGACATTGAAAGAGAAGACATTGAATTTATATGTAAGGTAAAGTGAATTATGTGAGTGCCTATATGAGTTAACAGCCACATTTAAACTGGATACCTGGCCAATGCCAGTTAATTATGATGAGTTCACAGGTTTCAAGCCAACAAAATGCAAAATTCTGATGGCAGTGTAAAAGTAGGCAAGACATTCTCTTCTCTAGAGCAGTCAAGTTTGTAGATGGATTAGCAGTGGCTGTAAAAGCTGCAGTCTATCTGTATTGCTCACAGAATCTGCAGATCAGGTTCTGATTGTTTGTTTGCTTTTCCCTTATCCTATCCAGACAATTGGAACAAAGCCTGTTGCTCACATAGACCAGTTTACTCCTGATATGCTGGGGTCTGCTGAGCTGGCTGAAGAGGTTAACTTGAACAGTTCTGGAAAGCTAATAAAGGTGAGTGAGGGATACAGGAATACTGTTTTAACATTTGTGAATTCTTTAATATTAGCTATTAACTTAAGCATAATAACTTCAATAAGAACAAACATTAAAGCACCTACCTCTAATCATTGTCTAGCCACTGACTGCAAGCTTAGTGGGTTTGCTTAGCCAACCTCAGTGCTATTTCCAAAGTTTAACATGGCAGCTGATGTCTTTGTCCAGAATTTTTTTTTTAGTTCTTTTTTTTTTTATTTATTTTAGATTACAGGCTGTACCAACCCTGGCAAAACTGTAACAATTGTAGTACGTGGATCCAACAAACTTGTTCTTGAAGAAGCTGAGCGTTCAATTCATGATGCTCTGTGTGTCATAAGATGCTTAGTTAAGAAAAGGTAACATCTTTTATCAGATAGTGACTTAGTGTTCTCATAATACGGAAAGGCATTCATTAATGTACAAGACTCTAATTCTAAGTCTCTGTTCTCAGAGCTTTAATTGCAGGAGGTGGAGCACCAGAGATAGAGCTAGCGCTGCGCCTGAACGAGTACGCTCGCACTTTGAGCGGGATGGACTCCTACTGTGTCCGTGCATACGGGGATGCGCTGGAAGTCATACCCTCTACCCTGGCTGAAAATGCAGGCCTCAATCCTATTTCAACAGTTACAGAGCTGCGGAACAGACATGCTCAAGGAGAGAAAACAGCTGGCATTAATGTCAGAAAGGTAATAAGTTACACATGCCCAGGATGACTTAAAAAAGACATGGCCCCATAAATGGAAAATGCTAAGCATTAAGAACTGAAATAAGGAAAGACCAAACTTGTCTCCTGGCTGTATTATCCCTAAATCTCCAGTGTCCACGTAGATCATACTTGCTCTTTTAGGTTTTAACAGCTTATTTGGGTATTGGCAATAGCATATATTTAAATGCCATGCACACAGAACAAGACACTTGCCATTTATCACAGATTTGGGTAGCACAAGAATATCTTTGAAAAACCTAGTTCTTGTGTATGAGAATAGATACTTTGTTGTATTCACTCACAAAGAACAGTTTTGTGAAACAGTTTTTGTCATAAAGCACAGAGTTTGTCCACAGAGGTAAGAACAAGCAGTATCAGTGCTGGAATTGTAGCCTAAGAAAATCTACAAGCTTAAGTAGCTTATACTCTTGGCTAACTTTGAGCAGATAGATCAAATACTTGAAGGAAGAAGACCTCTGGTGTAATGTTCTTTCTGAGAATTGAACAAAGTACAAGCCATTTGATGATTGTACTTGAATGCCTTTTCCAAGGTTCTGTTAAAAGACAGCTTGTTAAAGCTGGCTGTGGTGGTCACATTCACCCAGTAACCTCCTTGTTCTTTTAGGGTGGGATCTCCAACATCTTGGAGGAGTTGGTGGTCCAGCCACTGCTGGTGTCTGTTAGTGCCCTGACTCTCGCAACAGAAACTGTGCGCAGTATTCTTAAGATTGATGATGTGGTGAGTAATGTTTGGGTCACACTCCACTGTTTATACAAGCACCAGAATAATTGCTGCCATCCAACTCACTGTATTTCACGATGTTTCATTCTGTAGTCTCAATTTAAATGCTGCAGCTTTCTAGTGACTGCTGATGGTAACTATAGAAGGATAGATAAAACCAAGTCAGACTCCTGTTAGTTATGTGAATACTGTACTGTACAGTAAGAAGCTAGTAAAGTGACAAGAAAATACACAAGTCTTTAAACAGAGGAGTAGAGGTAAAATGCTTTGTACTTTGTGTGTGACTTAAACTTCTTATGCCTGATTTTGTGAATTCTTTTTTGCAGGTGAATACTCGGTAAGATGAATAAAGGAAATGGGACTGTGCCCAAGAGTACCTTCCTGTAGTTTGGAATATGGTTTCCTTACCAAAAATGCCCATGTGAATCATCTTAAAGACTGCGAACACTTATGTACTTTTCTCACATTAATTTAATAAAATCTCTGGTTTCAAAAAGCAAATGCTTATGATTATCAATAATACATTATGAAAATACCTTTAAAGGAGCTGCTATTACCCCACTAATTTACAGTTACCTGTAATGAAAGGATGTTTGCCTCTTAACTTTGACTGGAGTTAGGCTGAAACAACACAACAGTCTCCTTAGCGCTTTACTGCATGCTGAAAGGGAGTAAAATTGGCCAAGTCCTGCCTGCAGTGTGGTTGTCCATTTCTGTTCACAGGGGAAGGAGTGAAAGGGATCTTGCACAACTCCTTGGGGCAATGAAGGCTAGTAGTGGGTGATATTGCTATCACCACTAAGCCCTCTTCTTATAAAAAATAGTTTTATTTAAAATCAGTTTTTCCAGCTGCCTGAGCTAGAACATTTAAGCCTAACTTATCGGTCATTTCCATAATCTTGTTCAGTTTACAGGCCTATGCCAAAATCATAGGAGTGAAGCCTTATACAACAACCAGGGTGTTTTGTGTGTGCTCATACCCTGAATGCCAGGATGGATGACAAAGGAGGAACCAGGGTGATGAGAGTCCTTAAGAAAGGGGTTAATAGCTGTGCTAGTAACTTACAGTCTTTCAGACTGCAGTAATAATTAGTAGGTTTTCTCAAAACAGTCTGGGAGTCAAATTATAAATTACCTTATTTTATTCTATTACAAAGGACACCATTTTATGAAACAATTCATCAAAAAGATCATAAATTCCATTAATGGCTAAAGGAAACACATACCTTGGCTTGAGAAGGCAGCTTAGGAGTTTTGCTGCATCAGAGATGGTGCCAGCCAGCACTGCACAACATGAGGACAGTCACCTCCTTGGGCAGAGGTGGCAGTGGCCAACAGGACCACAATGGTTTTACAATCTTGGCTAAGGAGAGGCTTCTGGCTGCATGGGAAATTCATTCAATCCAGGGCAACGTTTGCTGCATTTCATGGCTTAGAGTAAAAAACATTTCAACTCGTTAGCAGGTTGAAAGTGTGAATTCATGCTTTAGTCATTACTGCTCTTTGCATGATTTCCATAACATAAATTACGCCTTGTCCCCCAGGATTACTCCCAAGAGATGAGCTCAAGATTCGCTGCCCAGCTCGGGAGCTGATTCTTGGTTAAACCTTCTTCTCCCCCGTCCCCACCGCCTTCCTGCTCCCGCCCAGCCCCTTGAGCTGCTGCCGCCGCCCCGCCCCGCGGAG